GCCCACGCCCCGCACTCCCCACCCCTGCCTGCCCCTGTTACCTTCCTTAGAGAAGGGGTCGAAGAGTGCAAGCTCAGCCTCGCTGAGAGGGCCTCGGACAGGGGAACCCGATGCCTCCTCGGCACTTCCGCAGTTAAAGAGAAGATCTAAAGCTTCCTGGGCAGGGCTGGACGGTGGGGGGTCTGCTGAGGAACAGATCATCGGGGACATGAACACAGGTACTCATCATTTTCCAGCTTTGTTTATTGTCTTTTAATAGAGACAGGGTCTCACTATGTTGCCCTGGCAGGTCTTGAACTCCTGAGCTCAAGCCATCCTGCCGCCTTGGCCTCCCAAAGTGCTGGGATTTTTTTTCTTCCCCAAGTTGGAGTCTCACTCTGTCACCCAGGCTGGAATACAGTGGCACGCTCATGGCCACCACAGCCTCGACCTGCTGGGCTCAGGCGATCCTCCTGCCTCAGCCTTCTAAGTAGCTGGAACTATAGGCACACCTCATCACGCCCAGCTGATTTTTTTGATCTATTAGGTCTTGCCAAGTTGCCCAAGTTGGTCTCAAACCCTTGAGTTCAGAGAATCCTCTCGCCTTGGCCTCCCAAGGTGCTGAGATTACAGGTGTGAGCCACCACACCCGGCCTACTTCCCAGCTTCCAAAATGGAATTACTCTGTCACTAATCCTTGCAGCAACCATGGGCGAAGACAAGCCAGTCACTCGGGTCTGTGTCCATTTTACAGATTAGTAAACTGTACCCCAGAGAGGGAAGATGGCCTGTCTAAAGTTCCCCAGCTAGTAGGTGGTAGAGCTCAGACACACTCCCGTTTTTCACTGCAATCGCCGAGGAAAGAATGTGGGTCCCCACCCACTCTGAACCCTCCAGCCCTGGCCCCCTCCCCTGATGTACCTGGCACCTCCAATTCCTCCAGGCCCCTCCTTTCTGCCGGGAGTGGCTGGGGTAGCCGGGGCTCGTCGAGGGGTGGGGTGGGGATCAGAGGGGGCGGCAGGATGTGTGTGTCCCCGGTCGCCTTGGAGGGCCTTGTCACCTCCCCACCCTGCAGGAGAGAAAGACCCACCAGGGAAGAGTCACAGGGTGCAGGCTGATCAACAGATACACGTCCCACAGGTCTGGGGAGGTGGGAGGAGCCAGGACAATACCCGGAAGAACTCCTTGAGCTGCGGGCTGTTGTTGAGTGCAGGTATGTGCACAGTGAAGCGAAGCAAGTCCTCTGCACCCTTTCGCCGCTCCTCGATCACTGAGGCCTCGAACCGACCTGCAGCCCCCCAGAACAAGGGAGCGGAGAGCTGCAGTGAGCCCCAGGGGCTTCCGCCCCAAGGGTCACTTTCCTGGTTCTGCCTGAGAGGCTCTGAGTAGCCCATTACCCTGTATCTTCCTGAGCTCCTCCTGGGAAGGGTGGCTCTGGGAGGGATCAATCTTATTCATTCTTTGGCCAGATTTTTACTGAGCACCTACTACACGCTAGGCTCAGAAGGTGAATAGGAGAGAAACAAAGTCTCTGCCCTCATGGACAGCTCATCCTAGACAGGGGAGGCAAGTGATTAAAAGAAACAAAATCAGCCGAGCTCAGTGGCTCAGCCGGTAATCCCGCACCTTTGGGAGGCTGAGATGAGTGGATTGCCTGAGCCCGCGGG